CCTCCATCCATCCATCCATCCATCCATCCATCATCCAACCATCCACCCATCCCTCCATCCATCATCCATCCATCCATCCATCATCCATCCATCCATCATCCATCCATCCATCCCTCCATCCATCTATCCATCCATCCATCCATCATCCATCAATCCATCCATCATCCATCCATCCATCCATCCACCTATCATCCATCCATCCATCCATCCATCCATCCATCCATCATCTATCCACCTATCATCCATCAATCCATCCATCCATCTTTTCCTGGATGGATGGATGGATGGATGGATGATGGATGGATGAATGAAGGATGGATGGATGGATGATGGATGGATGGATGGATTTATGGATGATGGATGGATGGATTGATGGATGATGGATGGATGGATGGATGGATGGATGGATGGATAGATTGATGGATGATGGATGGATGGATGGATGGTTGGATGGATGGATGGATTGATGGATGATGGATGGATGGATGGTTGGATGGATTGATGGATGATGAATGATGGATGGATGCATGGATGGATGGATGGATGGATGGATGGATGATGGATGGAATCCCTTTAAGCTGCATCAGTGATTATCCTTTTTCACAAGCAGCAAAAGTTTGTCCCATATACAGTGGGGCAAAAAAGTATTTAGTCAGCCACCAATAGTGCAAGTTCTCCCACTTAAAAAGATGAGAGAGGCCGGTAATTTTCATCATAGATATACCTCAACTATGAGAGACAAGATGAGAAAAAAAAATCCAGAAAATCACATTTTCTGATTTTTTAAGAATTTATTTGCAAAATATGGTGGAAAATAAGTATTTGGTCAGTTACAAACAAGCAACATTTCTGGCTCTCACAGACCTGTAACTTCTTCTGTAAGAGGCTCCTCTGTCCTCCACTCGTTACCTTCATTAATGGCACCTGTTTGAACCCGTTATCAGTATAAAAGACACCTGTCCACAACCTCAAACAGTCACACTCTAAACTCCACCATGGCCAAAACTAGAGAGCTGTCAAAAGACACCCGAAACAAAATTATAGACCTGCACCAGGCTGGGAAGTCTGAATCTGCAATAGGTAAACAGCTTGGTGTGAAGAAATCAACTGTGGGATCAATTATTAGAAAATGGAAAACATACAAGACCACTGATAATCTTCCTCGATCTGGGGCTCCATGCCAGATCTCACCCCGTGGGGTCAAAATGATCACAAGAACGGTGAGTAAAAATTCCAGAACCACACGGGGGGACCTAGTGAATGACCTGCAGAGAGCTGGGACCAAAGTAACAAAGGCTACCATCAGTAACACACTACGCCGCCAGGGACTCAAATCCTGCAGTGCCAGACGTGTCCCCCTGCTTAAGCCAGTACATGTCAAGGCCCGTCTCAAGTTTGCTAGAGAGCATTTGGATGATCCAGACGATGACTGGGAGAATATCATATGGTCAGGTGAAACCAAAATAGAACTTTTTGGTAAAAACTCTACTCGTCATGTTTGGAGGAGACAGAATGCTGAGTTGCATCCAAAGAACACCATACCTACAGTGAAGCATGGGGGTGGAAACATCATGCTTTGGGGCTGTTTTTCTGCTAAGGGACCAGGACGACTGATCCGTGTGAAGGAAAGAACGAATGGGGCCATGTATCGTCAAATTTTGAGTGAAAACCTCCTTCCATCAGCAAGGGCATTGAAGATGAAACGTGGCTGGGTCTTTCAGCATGACAATGATCCCAAACACACCGCCCGGGTAACGAAGGAGTGGCTTCGTAAGAAGCATTTCAAGGTCCTGGAGTGGCCTAGCCAGTCTCCAGATCTCAACCCCATAGAAAAGAGGGAGTTGAAAGTCCGTGTTGCCCAGCGACAGCCCCAGAACATCACTGCTCTAGAGGAGATCTGCATGGAGGAATGGGCCAAAATACCAGCAACAGTGTGTGAAAACCTTGTGAAGACTTACAGAAAACGTTTGATCTCTGTCATTGCCAACAAAGGGTATATAACAAAGTATTGAGATGAACTTTTGTTATTGACCAAATACTTATTTTCCACCATATTTTGCAAATAAATTCTTTAAAAATCAGACAATGTGATTTTCTGGATTTTTTTTCTCATTTTGTCTCTCATAGTTGAGGTATATCTATGATGAAAATTACCGGCCTCTCTCATCTTTTTAAGTGGGAGAACTTGCACTATTGGTGGCTGACTAAATACTTTTTTGCCCCACTGTCTTGTCGACAGCCAAAGTCAATGTATTTAATGATATATTTCAAAATTAATTGATTCACAGATTTTTACTTTATTATTTGTGCTTTAATACTTGAAGGTTTCATGTATTTTCAGTCTGTGTCCTGTGAGTCTGATTGTCTCTGGGTCGCTGGCACAGCTATTTCTGAGTGTTGCTGAATTACAAAAGACAGAACATATGCTAGCATTCTATTCCTGTCGCAGACCTAGCTTATCCGGGACTCTCATGTAAACATGGATGGATTTCATCTACTTTGGGCCGAAGCAGGGAGAGTAGTAAGAAGGGAGGAGGGCTTTAGCTGTGTTTGTGAACAATACAGGTGCTGGTCATAAAATTAGAATATCATGAAAAAATAGATTGATTTCAGTAATTCCATTTAAAAAGTGAAACTTGTATATTATATTCATACATTACATACAAACTCATATATTTCAGATGTTTATTTTGTTTAATTTTGATGATTACAAATGACAACAAATGAAAATCTCAAATTCATCATATCAGAAAATTAGAATATTACTGAAGACCAATAAAAACAAAGGATTTATAGAAATGTTGGCCAACTGAAAAGTATGAACATGAAAAGTATGAGCATGTACAGCACTCAGTATTTAGTTGGGCCTCCTTTGGCCTGTATTACTGCAGCAATGCGGCGTGGCATGGAGTCGATCAGTCTGTGGCACTGCTCAGGTGTTATGATAGCCCAGGTTGCTCTAATAGTGGCTTTTAGCTCTTCTGAATTGTTGGGTCTGGTGTATTGCATCTTCTTCTTCACAATACCCCATAGATTTTCTATGGGGTTAAGGTCAGGAGAGTTTGCTGGCCAATTAAGAACAGGGATACCATGGTCCTTCAACCAGGTACTGGTAGCTTTGGCACTGTGAGCAGGTGCCAAGTCCTGTTGGAAAATGAAATCTGCATCTCCAAAAAGTTGGTCAGCTGCAGGAAGCATGAAGTGCTCTAAAACTTCCTGGTATGTGGCTGCGTTGACCCTGGACCTCAGAAAACACAATGGACCAACACCAGCAGATGACATGGCACCCCAAACCATCACTGACTGTGGAAACTTTACACTGGACTTCAAGCAACGTGGATGAAGTGCCTCTCTTCTTTTCCTCCAGACTCTGGGACCTTGATTTCCAAAGGAAATGCAAAATTTACTTTCATCAGAGAACATGACTTTGGACCACTCACCAGCAGTCCAGTCCTGTTTCTCTTTAGCCCAGGCAAGACGCTTCTGACGCTGTCTGTGGTTCAAGAGTGGCTTGACACAAGGAATGCGACAGCAGAAACCCATGTCTTTCATACGTCTGTGTGTGGTGGTTCTTGAAGCACTCACTCCAGCTGCAGTCCACTCTTTGTGAATCTCCCCCACATTTTTGAATGGGTTTTGTTTCACAATCCTCTCCAGGGTGCGGTTATCTCTCTTGCTTGTACACTTTTTTCGACCACATCTTTTCCTTCCCTTCGCCTCTCTATTAATGTGCTTGGACACTGAGCTCTGTGAACAGCCAGCCTCTTTAGCGATGACCTTTTGTGTCTTGCCCTCCTTGTGCAAGGTGTCGATGGTCGTCTTTTGGACAACTGTCAAGTCAGCAGTCTTCCCCATGATTGTGTAGCCTATAGAACTAGACTGAAAGACAATTTAAAGGCTTTTGCAGGTGGTTTGAGTTAATTAGCTGATTAGAGTGTGGCACCAGGGGCCATCAATTTTGAACCTTTTCACAATATTCAAATTTTCTGATATGATGAATTTGAGATTTTCATTTGTTGTCATTTGTAATCATCAAAATTAAACAAAATAAACATCTGAAATATATGAGTTTGTATGTAATGTATGAATATAATATACAAGTTTCACTTTTTAAATGGAATTACTGAAATCAATCTACTTTTTCATGATATTCTAATTTTATGACCAGCACCTGTAGATGGTAAAACTCTGGAAACCTTGCAATCTAAGAGACGCTCTGCAGCAAGGACATTAAGCTGTTAGCAGTTAGCATGAGGCCAAATTATCTACCCTGGGAATTTACACACTATTATTGTGATAGCTGTGTATGCAGGGCCGGTTCTAGCCCTTTGGTTGCCCTAGGCGAGATTGAGTTTTGCGCCCCCCCCCCTCACTTTTGCCGTGCGAAATACCAGTACTGTTTTCAGCATCTGTTTAGTGCTTCATTGAGTTGTGTTTACAGTTCCACAAAGAGTGCTGTGCGGTGAATTGTGCCTACAGTTGTGCAAAGTGTGTGTTACAAAATTGCAAATTGAGTGCAAAGCAGTGTTTGTTCTTATAGTTTTGTGAACTCAGTGAGTGGATTTGCTATAAGTATTAATAGTTTTAGAAATTGTGCTATAAGAATCAAGGTTGTGTTTAAGCCTTCAGAAAAAACTGTAACTTAGCATGGAGTGATGCATAGACAAATACCAGAATAGGTTTCAGTACCTCTTATTTTAAATAATTTATTACACACTCAAAGTTAGGACTGTGCAAAAACACTTTTAACCATCTGTAAGGACACTTAGGTAAAGTATAACTAAAAAACTGGATTGAATCATTGAATGAATTTATTTCAGACAATTAACAAATTTAACACACATTAAACAAATATTAAATAAATCAATTTCAGAAATTACCAAATAACAATAAAAAATAATAAATTTAAGAAATTCTTCAACCAAGGACTACATAAAAAAGTAATTGATAAACATTAAATTAAATTTTCTTTTCCAGTTCAATTAAATCATTTGTGTGGTGTCTGAGCCTGTTAATGTGCAGTTTAGGTAGTCCCCTCTCCCCCTCTCTCTCCCTCTCTAATAGGTGTGGCTTGGGAGTTGCTGGCTGCACACAGCTGAGACTAATCTTCTTCTGGAGCAGTATTTGAAGCCTGGCCACCTGTGTGCTCACTGCCTGATGGTCACCGTTTGTTGGTAGATGTGCCAACTTCTCTCCCTTGTGGAAATTATCTCTTCTGATTTTTTGAAATAGGAAGAATTAATCTTACCTGTGCTCTGTCTACCCAGGATCCAGCTCCTGATCTGTCTCCAGCTACCAAGCCACACCACCCACCTCCCTCAACTCAAACTGCTGCAGAGAGCTCGCCTGCCACCTCCAACTGCCACTGCTTCCAGAGACACCTTCCTTCACTGTCAGCCTGTGAACCAAAGAATAAACTTTGCACCTTTCTCCTAGCCTGGCTGTCTGCATTTTGGGTCCAGCACCTAGCCCTCACAATTTGAACATAAATAGAAATGAGATAAACAAAATTTTCCTCTAAATAAAATATATCAGGTATATTTACCCTGATTTCTGACATTGATTAGTGATTAAAGAAAGGATTAACCCTCTACAAACAAAAGTGCTTTTATGAATACCATTACAAAATTAAAAGTTTGAAGTTGTTCTTTTTTTTGTTCACATATTCTATGATGAACAGCCATAACTTTATATATTTTGATGATTATTTGTACATCCCTTTTGAACACTCAATGCAGATAATCACTACAAAATATTTTATTTATATTAGTATCTTCTACCCATTCTCAAGCTAATAATATAGCACATAATTCTGCTGCATATATACTGAGAAAAAATGATGTCAACATTAGGGATGGGGATCGTTAATATTTAATGATATCGATACCTTTATCGATACTCCTTATCGATCCGAGTCTTTATCGATACCACTATCGATACTTTTCTGTTATTTGGTGGAAAGACGATGCAACAAAATTTTATTAACAGAACTGGTATTGCTTCTATTGCTTAACAAGTGAGCATAACAAAAACGTTTCTAGCCTTCAATAAACATGGCTAATGTAATAGGCCACTTGGAAATGACATAAAACTAACTAGAATATATTTTCACAATTGTTGGTTAATGTATTGTCTACTGTCACTTTTCATCATGTTTTTAGTGATTAGGAAAATATTTAACAAATAAATAATTGTATTTTAAATTAAATGTAATTTTTAATAAATGTTGGCATCAGTAGTTTAATTATATATAGAGCATATACAACTGTATTACTCATGTTTTTCGCCAAAAACAAAATTTCCCGTTTTCTTTACGTTACACTTGAACGCATCATGATAACCTAATTGTCGTTTTACTGAGCCAATCTGAACACATCATCACGCAGCACGTCTGAAACTTTATTTACTTTTCAAGCTAACTAGCTTGTATGCTTCCGATTACAACACGGATTTCACAATTACTATTTTTAACTGACCGGACAAGCTACAGAGTCTGTGTGCGCTTACCAGTGGTACTCTGAGTGGATGATTAAGACGGGCCGACTGCGGCAGCAGCTGGAGGAGGAGAGGGGAGTCTTTTCCGTTCAGCCATCCTCGAGTCGCGAGCAAAGTTAAGTGTCAGAATTCACTTGTTTTACTTTTAATATCTGTTTGCTTACAATTTCATTCCAAAATATTGGTGTACATGCTGCAGTGATTGACGTCACGACTTCCGGGTTGGAGGGCGCTTGAAAAGTGATCAGAATCTTTTCCGATTTTCTCTTAAATGTGAAAAAATAAATAAAAAAACGGTGGTATATTTATTTGTTCATATTTTGCTATTTATATATACGTAAGGTTAAGTCAAACTGACGGACGCTTCATAACCGGTTTAATTCGCTTTTTTTTCTAATTCTATGATTAATGGGAAGTAAGCCTAAGGGCGACGCTAAGTATAGTGGGCGCCCCCAACACATTTGTCGCCCTAGGCAATTGCCTAGCTCGCCTATAGCAATCGCCGGCCCTGTGTGTATGTCTCCCCCCCTCTGCTAATGCAGCAACAGTCCGTAATGTCCTGCAGACTACCATCATCAGACTCCAACCTCAGCACCCACAGGCTCTTTCGAAGATCTATGGGGAACTTCAAGCATGTCTCCCTGTCCTCCACCCTTCCCACATTTACACAGTATGTTAACTGCCAGACCAGAGACAACAAAACACTGGATCTACTGTATGCAGACACTAAGGAGGAATACAGCTCCTTACCTCTCCCTCCCCTGGGGATCTCTGACCACAATCTGGTTCATCTCCAGCCTGTGTTCAAACCTGGGGTGCACAAAGAACCATGTGAGAAACACACAGTGAGGAGATGGTCTGAGGAAGCTGAAGAGGCTCTGAGGGACTGTTTCTCCAATACTGGGAAGAGCTATGTGCTCCTAATCAACAGGATATCAATAGTATCACAGACTGCATCACCAATTACATTAACTTCTGTGTGGACAACACTGTGCCTATCAGAAAGATCAGTCTTCTCGAACAACAAACCATGGATCAACCCTGAGATAAAGGCACTTCTGAAAAAAAAGTGCAGATCCTTTAGATCAGGGAACAAGGAGGAGCTGAGAGCAGCACAGAAAGAACTGAGGAAGAAAATCAGGGTTAGGGTTAGGGCTCACCCTAACCTACATGTTATGAATGCTGGCGTACAATAAATGATAAATTATGAACAGTTTAGTTTGTGCCTTCAACTCGTTGCCCATAGGAAGACGTTACTTGGATATAACCTAATGGAATATCTTCAGCACGGCTCCAAATGACACTAAACTACTATGGGTGAGTAGAACATGATGGAATAATGTAAAATCAAGGGCCCAATGTAAAAAAAAAAAAAAAAAAGGCGTTCCCCTTTAAGCCCGAGGCTGGCAGAAGAATAACAGCTGTGGAAGACGTCTTGTGTGGTACTGGTGCCAAAGATAAAACTTCCAAAGGACCTCAGCAGCTAAAGGCCAGTAGCACTGACTTCACACCTGATGAAGACCCTGGAATGGTTAGTGAAGACTTGATTGGTGAAGACTTGATTAGATCCACTGCAGTTTACCGTCCTGGGATTGGGGCAGATGATGCAATCATCTTCCTCCTGGACCAGCACGTGTCCCAGTGGATTCTGGACTACCTCACTGTGAGGGCACAGGGCTGTGTCTTAGAAAGGGTGGTCTGCAGTACGGGGTCCCACAGGGAACAATGCTGGCACCGTTTCTCTTCACCCTCTACACTGCAGCCTTCTCCATCAGCTCTCCACACTGCCACCTCCAGAAGTTTTCTGACCATTCTGCCATAGTTGGCCTCATCACAGGTGGAGAAGACTCAGAGGACAGACAGGGGACCCAGAACTTGGCTGTCTGGTTCCAGCAGAACCACCTTATGATTTATGCAGGGAAAACCAAGGAGCTAGTGGTGGACTTTTACAGAAGCAGATCCTCCCCACTGACATCGGTGAACATCCAGGGAACGGACATTGAGATAGTGGACTCATCGAAGTACCTAGGTGTTCACCTGAAGAACAAACTGGACTGGACTCCAAACACTGAGGCTCTGGATCAGAAAGGTCAGAGCAGACTCTTCCTGCTGAGGAGACTTATGTCTTTTCGAGTACCTGTCTTTTGGAGACTTTTGAGGTCTTTTGGAGTGTGTGTTGGAGCAGTGGCTTATATGTTGCTGAGAGAAAGCGGCTGGATCAGCTGATCGGGAAGGCCAGCTTTGTGATTAGATGCCCTCTGGACCCGTTGGATAATGTCTCCCACCCCATGCATGAAGCTGGTGCTGAACTGGAGAGTTCCTTCAGTGACAGGCTGCTGCACCCTAAATGCACCAGGGAGCGTTATCATAGATCCTTCCTCCCAGCAGCTGGAAGACTCTAGAACCACCACTGTTCCATTCATTACTGTAAAAATGTCCACAGTTGTTTACTGATTATTACTCCAGTATTTATATTGTAAAACTCCATACAGTACAGTACTCTATTTGATTTATTTTCTTATCTGTTATTTTTATACACTTTTCTGAGGCCCACCTTGTGTGACCACTTCTGCTATAACCTTTTCCTGCTGTAAAACCACAATTTCCTCATTGTGGGATTATAAAGGGATTTTCTTTTTTTTTTAACAGTGTCCTGTCTTGGCAATTTTGCAATACGAATAATTGTCTTGATGCCAATAAGAGCCCAACAGATTTTACTTTCACAAGTGGAGCAGTAGGGCTATTGCCATATACCCCATTTACACTACCTTTGAAAAACTGTTGCGAGACCAGTCCGAGCTCAGTTACTGAGATAACTCATTGTGTCTAAATGGAAAGCAAACTGAACTTAACAGAGCTAGACACAACCGAACCAGGATAACTGCAGACCAGTTCCAGAGGTGGGCTCGGCTCGGTTTTTCCCTGGCTCGGTTCTCTGATAACAGGAGCGCATGAGCAGAACGTGTCGTCTCCATCTGGTTGCACATCCCGATTCACACTCCATTCCAGTAGGTGGCGGTAATACCCCTCCGGAAGTTGATTGCTAACCAACACAAAACAGAAGAAGAACAACTATAAACAACAATTGAAATCTTCTCCACACAACATTTTGAATAATGGCATTTTAAACTAGAAAATTTCTAAAGAAATTTTGAGGGGGGCCACCTACTGCCCGTCTGGGTAACTGGGCCAATACGGCCCTGGCAAGTGACATTGGGGCTCCCCAGACCAACTGCTTACGCCTTTGAGGGCTGCTGAGGGAAGGAAAGAGGGCTAGGTCATGGGCAAAGAGAGCTGTGTGCCACTTGTGCTGAAATCTGGGAAATAGACGTGCACAGCGTATGATGCACAAGGGTAATATGGTTTGTCCATATTGAACCGCAGTGGGTAAAGCGCAGTTGGCGGGCTCTGCCCGCCTGCTAGGAGCCCTTGCAGCGATGAAAAAAATCACCAATGGCGGGCTCCGCCCGCCTGCTAAGAGCCATTGCAGTGATGAAATCACCATTGGCGGGCTTCGCCCGCCTTCTAAGAGCCATTGCAGTGATGAAATCACCAATGGCGGGCTCCGCCCGCATGCTCAGAGCCATG